CATCTGACAGGAGAAGCAAGGTCACCCTAACCTACCCCACACTCCAAAATGGAAGATCTTTCCATTGCTTTCAATGATTAAATGATCTTTCCACAGATATTTCCACAGATAATGAGTCAGAATAGGACACAGATACTGTTTACTAAAATGCTCCTGGAAGTAAGGAGAGGAAAAGAGAAACACATAGAAGAGGTAAAGGAAGAATTCCAAAAACAAGATAGGAAAAATAAAATGGGGACAAATTGTGGGAGTGAGAATGGAAGCTCAGAGCAGAAATATTGAAACTATCAGAAGAGGAGAAATATTGAAACAGAAGGGAAGATACGTATTAGAAAAATCCAAATAGAAAGTTGAATACAGGTAAGGAATAAAGTAGCAGGGCTGAAACACCACCAGAAAGAGAAGAATGGGAATAGGAGATGGGAAACGTAGGGAAGACAAAAGGTGCTGGATTCCCAAGCTGTGCGCTACTGATGTGTAGGAGCCCCTTTTTAAGGGGATGCATAGCCAAGATGACACTAACATTTTCAGGACACTAATGACACTGTCGGGACAGACAACCTTCTTTGGCAAGTGATATAAAAGTCTTCAACTACAAAGAATTGCTGCTGTATCCAGTTAGATAAAACGACCAGGATCAAAGGGAGCACAATGCCCTAGAAACGCTACTCCTCTCCCCATGAGGGGTCACCTGCATTGTAGCTGCTCCACACAGGCTATTGCCATTCAGGAGTAAGTATCCACAGTTCGCACACTTACACCTAAGGTATCCGAACGCCCCCTCATCGTTAGCATAGCCTCGTGACATCACTGTGTATCAGGAAATAATACTTATCTCCTTTTTACAGATGGGGCATTGAGACAGAGGGAGATGAATGACTTGACCAAGACCACACTGGCTGACTGTGGAAACTGAGAACTCAAACCCAGTTCTCTCAAGTTCCCGGCCAGAACTGTAATTGCTAGTGAGAACCAAGAAAATTCAAAAAATGCAGATGAACCTTCTTGAAAGTTTTACAAGTAAAACTCCTGCTGTAGGCATGAATGGAGGAAGTGCAGACTCCAACAGGCAAATTCTTTGCCACCCCATCTCCTGAGTCCCAGAAATACTGTTGAGCTGGGCTAATAAATTTCCCCAAGCCCTAGACATTCTCTTGGCCCTCATCCCAAGTTCGCATAAGAAGCTATTTCATAGGCAAGGTTCTTATTTACAGTTACTCAACTCCCATAATATTTTATCTGAGGTGGCATTTTTAACACTCCCCTCCCCAATACTGGATGAACTGTCTCTTTCTTTGCTTTATAGGTTTGTAACTAATCTAGTTAAAATCCCATAAATACTGGGATGTTTCTGTGTTCCACATTCAGACAGGAGGCTGGCTGAGGAAAAAGTACATTACCATTAAAATCATGGTGACATCCAGACTGAAGCTGACAATACATTCATTTTTTAAGTCTACTGTCGTTATGCCAGCTGCCCTTCAGGAGCTGGCTGCATGAACTGTGTAGCCTTCTAAACGCGTGATACTCAGGAAAGGGTATCTTCCTACGAAATCAAGAGGGAATCACAAGTCCTTGACAGGTCAAACACTGGGTTAATGTGCTAGTGTTCTACCCCTTGGAGACCTGGGGTATATACTTTGTTTTACTGTAGCCCTGTATGCCACTCTAGCAGCAAAAAAGGAGGTCATAAATGCAGTGGAACGGGGCACTGGGGAATATCTACAGCAGAACAGGGTGCCTCAGGCCAATTCTGTTTCTGGAATCGATGAATCTCAGTATGGGTCTGAAGATTGCTGGTTTTTCTTGAATTAGTGCTCACAACTGAGGCACAATTAAGAGGTACAAGTGGGCCATATTGAAACATGGCCTCTAACTCAGTTTGCAAAGTGGTATTCTACCACTTTTCCTCCTAAACGTGCAATGCCCCATAGTGCTGTTGCCTGTCACAGCAGTGCTTAGGATAGGATTTCCATCCCCTTGGCACCCTGGTTTTGTGACGTCCCAAGGGGCACTGAGGTGGTCTGTGGCTGGGTGGGTGCAGACTATGGCCAATCTGCTAGGCAAACACGTCACTCCCCAGAGGTAAGCAGAAACCAACTAAAACAAGCTTTCATCCTGCCTTCGCAGCCCCATATCTATCCTTCTCCAGATTCTAAGAGCATCTCAGTGGCTTTTTTCTTTGGATGTGGCTTGCTTCAGCCTTTCAAGTTCAAGAGTCCTTCCCCAGGGACTTCTGTACCATCTTTCCAAACAGGCGAGCCTGGTCTCTCCCACCACTGCTGTCCCTCCCACCCCGAAGCCGAAGTAAGCATGGCAGCTTCACATCAGCCTCTGGTTTTGCTCTGGTAGATCCCAGGCTACTCCTGCACTTGTCCGTTACTGGGTAGTCATCTACTCTTCCTTTGCAAGCCTTCCTCAGTTTCAACGCCTTACAAGAGCAGCTCCCCTCCTGCTTATGCCCAGATACCAGTCTCAGAGCTGGAACTCTTCAGACAGAGCCCTGTGATTGCTTTATGCACCATCTTGTGCAGGTCCCTTCAATCAACCAGACAGCAGTTCCCAAGGTCCATCCACACTGCACCTCCTGCATTCATTCTGCTGCCATTAAGAGCCATGTCCCAACACCACCCAGGCTAGCAGCCTCGCCTTTTAAAGGATCTGTAGTCTCTTCAGGAGGCGAATAACAACAAGCCAGTGATATTTAGCCAAGCGGAGGATGAAAACTGGTTAGCTCCTCACACAGGATTAGGAATGTGTCCAAACGCTAGGACTCTGCATCGCTTGTCAGAAAAGGAGCTTGCTGACAAGGAAGTTGCAGACAGGGCTAGAGGGCAAGGGTGGCCCAGCTACCTTGTGCTTGAAGGCCAGAGTAAGAAGAGGTGTTGAGCTACTTTTAGCAGGATTATGTTTTCCTGTGGCGAGTAGATTGCCCATGGGATTGCTGCGCCCCTCTACGGCACTGTGATGCCAGCTCATGCGCTGCCAGAGAAACGTGCTCCTCTAGAGACGAAGCTTGTGGGAAAGCGAAACAATCTCACTTGGACTCCTAGCTTTATTCACATGCTGAGATGACTATTAAATTATACATACATACGAATATTTATGTATCACAGTCCATAATAACCGGCGATAGATAAGCATACGCTGCTTAGCAGGCTCCTACTTCCTAACTTTTCTCTTCTTCAGCAAAAAACTTTCCTGACATAACCCGTCAGACGCCCTGGCCCAAGACTCCCCTTTTAAAAGGTACCTTAATCTTCTCCTGCAAGGGTTAAAAAGGCTGCTAGCTGTTTAATTGTTCAATTGATTGTCAAAGAAAACTCATGTCAAAATAAACTCATGTCTTAGCCCAGGATAACTTGAGAGGAATCAGAGGGACACAGATGAAAAAACAGCCACCCTCTCCTTGGGACCTCTCCAGAAACCCAAACATCAGCTGTTTAAGTTAATTAACATGTGTGTGTTAATTAATTACGTTATATTTGACCAGATGAATCACATTGAATGTCAGCGTAATTGAGATCAGAAGCTGCTGCCCAAACAAAACCTCAGTCAAGATGCAAAGCTAATCTTTAAAAAAAAAAAAAATCTTGAATCTGGCAGTGGTTTTCTTAACGTCCCACTCAGCAGCTTGTACGTCAGCGAGGTGTTTACACGCTATCAAGCGGCGAGGGCTCCGTACACGCTGCTTTCCCCGCAGCGTCTGGTCCTTCTCACCTTTTAAAAACCTAACTGCCCATCACGTCCTGATGCTCAGATTTGGTTCTCACTGAGCCCCCAGACGCTGACCCGCGGAAAGCCACAGGCACGGCGTGTTTCGCCCTGTACAGCGTTTGCCCCGCTGCCAGGGGTGGAAGAGGCAGAGCTTTGCCCATGCCTGAACTTTTCTTCCTCATTTCACACCAGACTTTCCTCCGGGGCATCTCAATAACAGCTCTGTTCTCCCTCAAGAAGAACTGCTATCTTGACCATCTCTTTCAGGAGCTACATAAGGGAGGAAAAGCTTCTTACCCCACATCCTCACTAACCACAATCTACTAGTCCTCTATTTTTGAAATATTTAAGGCCTTAAACGTAGAATTTGGGTTTTTACACCAGCTAATATTAATAGAAACATTCTCAGGATTTTTTTCCCCCAAAGTGAATGGAACACTTATTTTTTTAAACATCCCCCAGTGGTGCTTGCAAGCCAAACACTGCAGCATTGTACTAGCCCAGGGAACTCGCTATAAACAGATCTGCCTCGCGTCTCTGTCAGGCCCTGCAAATTCTGTATAATCCAGGAAAAGTAAACGTGTACATTAAATATTTATGTTTTCAGTACGTATAATCTAAAGTGTTTTGAGCAGCACAAGCAAAGCGCACTTTTAATCAGTGATTTTTATTTTGACATGGCACTATTAAAATTGTACAGGTACAGCCTGAAAAAGCCTCCGCCTCTAAACCAGAGGCTCTCCTCTCACAACTGATTATAAATACTGTTGGGTTATTACCCACTGCTCACCTGAAAGACCCATGCTACCTCCCATTTTTGTGATCCTTTTGGGCAAATGATCGCAGCAGGGTCTAAAAGCGGAGCTTGTGGAAAGTCTCAGAATCAGCCCCGAGTTAGCTTTGGGCAGGCAGCTACAGTGATAAACATGTAGTTAACCGTGCATAAAATGATACATAGAGAGAAGAGTTAAAAGAATAACAACACAAAAGCTAACTTCTTTGAAAGTAAATAGCCACCAGTCAGCACTGATTTTCTTCTCTGATTAAGATAGCGGCTAGCTTTTAACACTTCCTCCGTGCAGAAGAGCTTCTGCTTTTATCTCAGCATTGATGCTAGCAGCCATATATTCTGTACAACCGGAAAAGTTATGTTAATGCAATCGTAAAAAAGCCTCCACACTAAAGTAATCTCTGATAGCCCCTGCTAACCTTTTACTTCCTGCGGACATCCGTCCCTGGGAAAGCAGTGGGCAGCACAGATGCTTCCCGGCTGGCTTGGAAAGATGTCGTTCTCCCTGTGGGTCTGCAAAAACTGGCCTGCTCCTGGCTCGTGGCTGCTGGACAGAGCCGCACCAGGGCCTGGCACGGGGCACGCATCCCTTCACCAAGCGCACCCCAGCCCCGGCCAGCCGGCTCCCCCGAGCCGTCTTTCAGCCCTCAGCAGCGATAAGGTGAGGAAGAGCGTCCGCTCAAATAGTTCCTTCTTCACTCCCTAGAAAAATCACCTCGACCAGGTCAACAGAGCCAGAAACATCTTTCAGATTTGGAAGCTACTCAAGTCCAGAGAAGGTTTAGCACACCTCCTTAATCGCAGGCACGCAAGCCTGGGATGGGCAGCGATCTACACATTCCTGGATTGCGACGCTGTCTCCACAAACATTCCTGAAGCACATACATGATCTGTTGGCTGCCTCTAAGTCCTTCCTATCTGCAAGGATGACATCGTGTCTACTTATTTGTCTGCTACTGACTTTTTCACTACGCTCTCACTGACTAGAAGCGAGGGGCACAAGCCAGAGACTATTGCTAATAGCTAATCTGCAGCAGGAGGGTAGCCCCTGACAGGTCACGGCTGGCTTCCTTGTACCCGTTAGCTCATACGTGTCATAAAACAGACACGCACAATGAAAGAAAAGAGCACAACTCACTGCCACCGAAAGGTGCTCATCTAACACATTGGGAGGTAAAGGATAAGAGCCCGGGTAGAACAGCATGGCAGTAAACAGTAACGCAGCAAACACAGCTAGGGTCTCAGCGTGTTTTAATGAGCTTGCGTACGCAGCAGAGAACGAGTTATGAGTCTGGACAAAGCCAGCAGGAACCTCAGGGGATTCTGCAGCATGCTGACATTAATCCTGTGACGTTTTCAGCAGAGAGCCTGGAAGGATCAGTAATTGATACAATTCAGCGTGTGGCAAAACTTGCTGGGTATCCTGCAAGAAAGGGCTCTCCTTACTATTTGCATGCAAAGAAAAAAAAATAACTACACTCATTTATTCGAAAACACAGCTACAAAGATGTGTATCATCAAGCGTTCTTAAAACCAAAGGCCAGGCGAGTCCTTTAAACGTCCATGCATCAGTGACAAGAAAACGCTGCAGTTGGTCATTAAGAGCAGGGAGTAAACACGCCAGAAACAAGGCAGATCATTCCTCTAGCATTGATATAGGCTAACATTGAGGAAAACCAGCTTTGATTATTAACGACGATGAAACAAAATACCTTTTAGGAAACAAGAATTTGCCATGTATTTTAAATGCAGGAAGAGAAGAAAAACCCAAATATACTCAAGACAGCATATTCTGGGGCACTTACTCCTGCAGCACAGATGGAAACCGAAGGCAGTTGTCTCCTAGGTCTCGTTGCGATGAAGGCTGAGGCAGACAAACACAGCTGCTCACAACCGTTATGGGGATCACAGCCTGGAAATGTTCTTTGATCAAGGATTTCTCAGGCACAACCCTCTTGATTGCAATCAGGTTAAACTAGCTCCCACAAGCCCTAGCAATCATGTGCAATTTTCTTTCGAGCTTGCTCGCTTTGCCTTAGCAGAGATGTCAGTTCACATGCACTGCCCCACTGGGAAATTCTGCACACTGAGGACCAAAGTTTAAAGTTAAGCACAAGTTTCTACTGAGATCATCCGGGATGGTTGGTTCTCGAGGGTCCATCATCTCAGGTGAAGCTGAGACAGAGCCTCTGTATGCTCTTGATGCCTCAGCCTCCATCAGTGAAACTCATGAGACACAGCTGTGGAAAGAGTTTTTCCAGAATGTATAATGTGAGTTTTCAACCTGCATTGTTACCATTTGCAAGTTGAATCACTGCATGGGGTGAAAGTGATGGACACGACTTGGAAAGCCAGATGCAGCCAGGTGCTAGCTAGGACAATCTTGATTTTTTTAACGTATTTATTTTTTTAAACAGAGAGCCTAGCCCAAAGTCCATGACAGTCTTTTCACTGCAAACCTGAGATACAGGGATGTGCCAGATACATTCAGAAGATGCAGTTTGCATTCTAGTGAAGTAAGCTTTAACACCCGAAGCACACACATATCAGCTATCTGAGAACAGATTAAAACATATACTAAGTAATACACCTGTCTCACTGAAGGAACAGAACTGCTTCCCAGGGCTACTGTAGCGGCTGGTACTAAAATAATTTTTAATGCCAGATCCTCGAATGACAGTGACAAAGATCTTCTGCTTCCCTGACCGGTTGGGAGGAACTAGGAAATGGTTGTAACTGTTTTGCCTTTCTGCGCCCAGCACTGGGTGAGAAAGGCAAGCGATATGTGGTGCTAGTCCAAGGTTCAACAAGAATACACAACCATCGGCTGGGATGCTTCCTGCCTGTCATGCTGCCGTGTCCCTTATATCTGCATGTGGTGCTGTTCACGCACTGAAGAAGCAATCAGCACAACAGAATCCTATTTCAAATTCTGCTTCTCTGTTTCCCCTGCAAGGTTAGGAGGGTCATGAGTTCCCCTTCCACTTTCACAAAACTGGAAGCTTCAGGACACCTCGACAGCAGCCAGGGGAAACGCAGCGTACCTGCAAAGCCCAGTCCCTACCTGTGCACAAATACTGCAAAGCACAACTCTGCAGGGTTACAAACCACAGGCAAGGCACAGACTGTACAAAAACTGACAGGCATTAGTTAAAGGGATGTAAAGAACGAGTAGTGGGGAAGAAAACATATAGGAAATGCCACGTTCAGAGAATTCAGCATAAACTCTGAGCATATCAAAGTAGGAAAAAAAAATCTGAACCCACTTGGGTGTCAGCTGCTGAAGCCTTCTGGCTGCTCTGCCTGCATGTTGCTCTGCTTAATTTACGCCGCTGGATTTGCAGCTCCTGTGACTCACTGAGAGGAGCCATTGATTCTGGGAGAACTGATTTAGTGCAGCAGGAACCGGTGGCCTGGCAGGAGCTGCAGGAGGGGCCCAACCTAAGGTAGGTAAACATCAGAGGAGGAAAGGCTATAGGGAACTACAACAGGGAAAAGGAGAAGAAAGAGGAGGAGAGACAGAAGAAACGCAAGGTAAAGGAGGGGCAGAGGAAAAAGAGAATGAGAAAGAGGAAAGTAAACATACTACAAAAAGGGGTTGGTGCTGATTTTAATAAGAACCTTCCCCAAAATTCATATGGTTGTAAGTGTCTGATGTTCTCTCATCTGGACTGGACGCTTGCTTTCACTGGAAGTAGCAGCACTCGGGGGAATATCTGCGGCCCTCAACAAGGCTCTGAAAGCCCTACACGCAGCCGTGAAAAGCTGACATTGGGTGGAGGGAAGATAAACCATTCAGTTACTTTTTCCTTGATTTGTTTCTTTAGAAGCCCTTTCCCATGGGGAGAGAAAGGCCTGTGAAAATGAGAGTATATACTCAGTATACTACCAGGATACTCCAGTAATTCTGGAGTATCTGGTGTACAAACCAATTGTTTCAAATTTCCTGCTTTGTATTAGCCAAGCTCTCAGTAGTCTTTACCATAGCAATAGCAGTTGCCCGGGGCACAAAAAGCTAGGAGCCACTAAAGTACTCTTCGTCATAGGAACAGCCCTGAGAGCTGTATATTTTCCACTTTACTTAGAACAATGAAGGTCTGAAACTTTACGTTATGTTATACTGAACAAAATCTAAAAAAAGAAAGGTATTTTCCTCTAAACTTCCCCTCTTTCCTGATGCATCAGGAGATGTAGACACAGGCCGGGCCATAAACTCTGGGTCACAGTTTGTAGCAGGGGAAGGTGCGCAGCAGAAGCGTATGAAAGGTTCACAGTCTAACTTGAACTCAAAGGAAACTCAACTGATTTCAGGTGTCGTTAACTACTTGAAATTCAGGACAGGTTTGTTAAAAGGTGCTTCAAAGCTTTCGAAGTGACCTTTTTTGAGTAAACGCAGGTTCAGTTACAGTTTCCCATCAAAGTTGTGTGAACGTGTGGGTAAGACACGAAACCAAGTGAGAAAAGGTGCTATTCATTGCCTTTTCCTGTGGCATTTGCTAAATGTTGTGAAAGCCATAGATCAAAGAAAAATGCTCAGTGCATGTCCTTAAATTAGATGCAATTAAATAAACAAGTGTTTGCATAAATCCCTGAAAAGCAAAGCTGCCCAATTTAACCACCCATTGGTATGTTAGCTCTTTCTGCTTTAACACTTTCAAAACCTTTGTTAACGAAAATGCATTGCTTCACAAAATTGCTCATCTTGATCACAATGCCCCTGTGTAAAGAGTCCTCCTGAGGAAAAAGCACCGGTGAGAAAGTACCCTGAAAAGCTAGGGCTACGTTTTCAAAGCTAAAGCATCCTAGAAAAAACGTGCACCTACAGTAAAGAAACAAATAAATAAAGGGAAGCCTGGAGTACTGGATAGCTCAGAGCCTGGAAACAGGAACGAGTCTTTCTCCTCCTAGTCACCAGCTGGAGCTTAGCCAAATCAGTAGGGATGGAAAGTTGTTACTACCATTACTGGCAGCTATATAAGTCAGCTGGTGGTCCCTGTCCAACTCTTAATGGACGCATAAAATAACTCCTGTCATCAGAAATGGCACTAAATGGTATATATTGGCAGTCTTGGGAGATAGCTGCATGTAACTAAAAACTCAATTTCCCTTCCGACTGTTGTCCTTTCTGGTCAAATTTTCAGGCACATGAGTGAAGAAGAAAGCCACTACCTACTTCTGCATAGCACCTTCTGGGCAGAGAGGGCCCAGCGCTTTTACCCCATCACCTTTCATGAACCACAAAACCACCATACAATAAAAGCCACCTTAAAACAAAACCACGAGTCTAATTTACCTGAATGAAAAGAAAAACACCAGAAGCTCAAGTTGTGGGAAAAAACACGAGGTGACCCCGATGTCACAGGGGCCCGACGGCGCAGGGCGGCGGGGGCGCGGGAGCCGGGTCC